ATTAATTTCATCCAGCATATTTTTCATTTCATTGTCATTTTCATTTCTTGAAGTCTGATTTGGGTCTTTTTGATATTTTCCATGTCTGTCCTTAACATGCTTGTGCCTTGATCGTATTCAAAGCCTTTCTCTTAAGCTTGATAGGTAGGATCAGGGCAGCCTGAACTTATAGATAACTTGGCTCAATAGGAATAATCTGCCCCTAGTTCACTCTAGTTGGTAAGAATACAAACTATGCCTGGCCCTGTGGGAATTGTTTTACATGTATCCTTCCAGTGCTTTTCTCACATACATACACTGATTAGTAGTCAGCTGAAGATACAGTGGGAACCTCCTATATATCTCCATAGTTCTTTTATTTCCAGTAATCTGGTTTGCAAATTCTAGCCATCATGACCTCCCTACATTCTCAACTCTCTCTTCAACCCAGGGAGACCTTTAGGTTCAGTATGGGTTTCCCTTACCTGCACGATGGCCTGGAAACACCAGACAGTAAAGTAGGGCAATCACAGAGCTCAACTTCTCTGTCCCACTGCCCTTTTTCTTTCTTTTTTTAACTTATTTTTTTTGAAGTTTAGCTATTTAAAGTGGACCTGTGTGTGAATGTGCCAGAACTGCTATAACAATGTATCACAAAGTGGATGTGGCTTAAACAACAGAAATTTATTGTCTCACAGTTCTGGAGGCTCTAAGTCCAAAATCAAAATGTTGGCAGAACTGGTTCCATCTGAGGGCTATAAAAGAAGGATTTGTTCTGGGCTTCTCTCCTTGACTTGTAGGTGGTCATCTTCTCCTTATGTCTCTCTACATCATCTTCCCTTTGTGAGTGTCTGGGTCCAAATTTCCCCTTCTTATAAGGACATCAGTTATACTGGATTAGGGCTCATTCTAATGGCTTCATTTTAATTTGATTACCTCTGTAAGGCCCTAAAGTTAGCCCTAAAGTCATACTGATAACTGTTAAAATGATGTCTATAAAAATCAGTTTAGTATAGTGGCTAGGAGTAAGGACATTGGAATCAGACTGCCTGGGTTTGATTATGGCTTCACCACCTGCTAGTTCTATGCCTTAATATCCTCATCTATTAAAAGGAATTGAACATACTAATCTCACATAGATAGTGTAAAAATATATAGTTCCTGCTACATAGTATACCTTCAATAAATGTTATAACTAAACACATGTTAGTTAATACAATGATCAAAATAATCTCATCATTGTAACATGAGTAGGGTTACCTAAACCAACAGAGAGCTTGAGTGGCCTTGATGAAGGAGATCAGAGAATTTATATACAAAGACTACTTCATTTATTAAATTTTCTATGCTGTCAGGAGTACTGTCTTCTAGCTTTCTAAGCTTAAAATCTTTCCTTAGTGGCCTCCTCTCTCCACAGTTTACATACAGCTGCCAAAACTCAGGTTTCTAAAGCTCCCTTTGATTAAGTCACTTCTCTGCTTTAGAACCTATACAATCTATTTACAGATTATCATATTAAACTCTAGATTCCTTTGCCTGATTTCTGAAGGCCTTTGAAAACCCAGCAGTCTCTTTGTACAACTTTACTGTCTACTTTAGCCTCTTCTTCACTGGGCAGGTTGTTGTCTTCTATCTTCCTTTCAAAACATGTCCATTCCTGGTGCTTTCCTGCCTTTTTTTCTGCAGGCCATCTATCACCCTTTTCACTTGTTATTTTCCACCCTTCTCTTTCTCGTGCCTAAACATCATTCACTGTCCATTTCAAATCTTTTATTAATTTACACTTTAAGACATTTACATGAACATTTACAAACCTGTCCTACATGGAACATGCTGCTCTGGCTGTTAGGATTCAGGATCAACAGGAAATAAAGGAACATTCCTGACTGCTCCATTTACTAGAGCTCTCCTTTCTCTAAACTTTTAGTAAACTTACATAAGTTTCAGCACTTGTTTTCACATTGTTTTATCTATACTAGTTCTGTTTCATGTCTTCATTCAATAGATATTTCTCGTGCAATTACTCTTAACTAGGCCGTCTGCTAATGATACAGTGGTAAACAAGACAGACATAGTTCCTCATTGAAATAAGTCTGAAGAAGGAATTACAAATATAATGAGCATTACACACACAGTATGTGTAGAATTCTAGAGATGTTTATAACAGGGAGAGTCACCCCAGTTGTGAGATAACTAAAAGCTTATCTATCATCTAAGCTGACACCTGAAAAATGAGTGAGAGGCAGGTAATGAACAGGGAAAGTGTGCATCAATAAGGAAACAGCTTGTGCAAAGGCTTAGAGCAAAAGAGAACACAGTCTAGAAAATAAGGAAGACTATGGGTATCAATAAAGAAAAGTAAATAAAAGGAAAAATGGAATATTATCATGAGTAAATAATATATAAGAAATTACTTTTTTTCAACTACAAGGTGAAGAATTATTACCAATACAATTCAGATGTCCAAGACTGAGAGAGAAACACTGAACTGAATTGAAATAAACAAACATAAAATATGAGTTGAAATAAAAATTGAATTAGAAGGGAAGTCATTCTGCTAAATCAAATAAGAAAAATAAGTAATATACAGTTGGTAAATTTTATTGAAAATGAAATACAATAAACAAGAAGAAATACAGTTACTGTTTTTGAAAAAAGATATCTGAACCTGCACAACCATAAACCTAGGAGGCAGATAAAGACAGGTAATATGAATGGCAGTTGTTGTCATAAATGTCCTAGGTCAGTACTGAAATAACTATGGAGGCCTCATAGCTCTTTACAGATATACTTTTATAAACAGATCCAATTCCCAAGCACCATCTTGCAAACACCAAGGATAGCAATGTTTATTACCTGCTTGAAGAGGACATCTGATTATCTTACTTCTGGACAATAAGCTCCCAGAAGGCAAGCATCATGTTCTTAACTCATCTTTGTATTTCATATCACAGAATATATTTAATAAATGTTTGTGAAATAAAAAATAAAAGTTCAAATTTGAGAAATAAATGTGTTTTCAAAGCATATCTCTTTTAAGATTATTTAGGGCACAAATTATACAAAAAATCAGTTCATTTTAAAGATTTGGCACTACCTAGCCTAGTCTATTACTATTTGATATTCCAAGGTAGGACTATCTAATAGATTAAAAACTGCTAATTGTATCACAGAAAAAAATAAAGCACACATTCTAGCTACTATTTTCTACAGTCCTGAAAAAAGCCATTGCATTAAAGGCCATGGGTAAAAGCTTTCTTCACATAGGTCATTCTCATAAAATTCATTCTCCTGAGTTTATAAATCCAGTAAGACATTTACGTGATTCTAAGTGAAAGTATAAAATGTTTGAGTGTACAAATAAATGATGAATAAGTGGCTGAATGAAGGGGAAAAAAAGAAAGGAGGAAAAAAATGAAAAAAAGAGAGGGAAGGAGGCAATTCACTTTATACCAAGAAATAGTGGAAGGAGATATTGGGGACTTACCATCCTTCTAATAAAATAACAAATTTTGGGATGCCTGGGTGGCTCAGTCAGTTAAGCATCTGCGTTCGGCTCAGGTCATGATCCCAGGGTCCTGAGATGGAGTCCCACATTGGGCTCCTTGCTCAGTGGGGAGCCTTCTCCCTCTCCCTCTGCCTGCCACTCCCCCTGGTTGTGTGCATGTGCAAACACGCATGCTCGTGCTCTCTCTCTCAGACAAATAAATTAAATCTTTAAAGATAATAAAATAACAAATTTTAACCATTATTATATCAAACTAAGTTTCAAAATAACATTTTTCTTTTAAACCATATGATTACTGTTGGACATTTTACAACTAATTTTAAGAAACTTTTGAATTTAAGAAAGACTTTTTTCTTGCCATTTGCAATGACATGGATGGAACTAGAGGGGAGGGTGTTATAGTAAGCGAAATAAATCAATCAGAGAAAGACTATTATATGATCTCACTGATACATGGAATTTAAGAAACAAAACAGAGGATCATAGGGGAAGAGAGGGAAAAAATAAAACAAGACTAAATCAGAGAGGGAGACAAACAATAAGAGACTTTTAATCTTAGGAAATAAACTGAGGGTTGCTGGAGGGGAGGGGGTTAGGGGGGATCAGGTAACTGGGAGATGGACATTAAGGAGAGCACGTGATGTAATGAGCAATGGGTATTATATAAGACTGATGAATCACTGAACTCTACTTCTGAAACTAATAATACATTATATGTTAATTGAATTTAAATTTTAAAAAAAGAAAAAAGAATTACTGACCTTCCACTAAATCTGCATTTTAATAGGTTCAAAACCTGCAACTAAAGCCACTCTGATCAACTAAAGAATCTTAAGCAGCCACCGAAGAGAAATACAGAAAGCTGAGAATTCCCAGGACAAAATGGGTGGAGGACTTTAGCTCCAAATTCCTTGCTTCTAACAACATTTTTTTTTTAACAATAAAGTATTTTTATGAAAAAAAAAAAAGAAAGACTTCACATAGCACATAGGCAAAGAGCACTGTTTACATAATTCTGTAATGTGTGTATAGAATGCAAAATTTCATTATAGTTATAAAATACAGCTTAATCCAAAATGCAACCATTTATTTGCTTTTGAAACCTTACTTAAAATTCATTTCAGGAGTTAATGCTTAAATGTTAAGTATTGTCAAAAATAATATATACTTACAAGAAGAGGGAAAAATGAAAAGATCCCACCACTAATGTTACAGATACACAGTTAATTTTATACCTTAATCGAAATGCAAATATATAACTGATTTTCATGGTATCAAAAGCACAATCAATGACACAACTAATTACTAAATAAATCACAAACCTAACATCTTGATTTTCTGTCATGAAATTCCTCATCACTGATCTAAGTCATATAGTATTATGAACTGACTTCACTGTCAATTAAAAAATGAAATTTGTATATATATAATATATATTTATATATAATCATGTATTTTTCATTTTTACTTGTGTATTTAACAATGAAAAGTATGCCTTCGTGGTAAATCTTACCTCATTGTATCTGTTGCTGGGAATTTTGATACTGGTTTTCCGAACTTCCATATCAATCACCAAACCTTGAACTACTGGCAATGTATACTGGTAATTTCTGAAGTCCTGGGAAAAAGCAGATTGAAGTGGAATAAAGAATTCATCAATGGCAGGATGTGATTTATAGTCATAAAAGAGGCACAAATGGAAAGAATGTAAAAATTAAAACATCTCATTAATTTAAATAATAAGGAAATGTTTAATGAAAACCCTAATGTGTATATTCTACCTCTCTAATTAGACTGTAAATTCTCATAAGGAAGTAGACCTAACAGTCTCATATACACCTTAAATACAATATTAAACAAATATTTGAATGCTTATTAACTCTGCTTTAACACCACTTAACATTTTCTATATTTGTTAACTGTCTCCTCCCTCTAAAGTAAGCTCCAAAGAGGATAGGGACTACCCTACTAAAGAGGGTAGGTACTCTCACTTGTTTCCTTCTTGTTATATCCCAAATGCCTGGAACAGCCTAGGCACTCAATGAATATTTGTAGGGTAAAACATATACACATGCACACACCACATCCAGTGTTGCTGAAGCAACGTGAGCAAGAGTGGTAGGAGTTCTGGTCAAAGTGACAGCACAAAGCTAGATTTCACAGAGTTTTGTAGGCCACCCTAAGGACCTTTGCCTTTAGTGTGAGAAGGTTTTGACCTACTTTAACAGATCTCTCTGACTTCTCTGTAAAGAATAGCCAGAAAGGGAACAAGGATAGAAGAAAGGAGATCAGATAAACATATAAAAATAATTCAGGCAAGAGACAGTGATAACTTGGACCAAAGTGTTAACAGTTCAAAAGGTGGTGAGAAGTTATCAGATTCTAGATATATTCTGAAGAGGTAACTGATAATATCCGTCACTGGATTGAATGTGGAAAAAAAGAGAATCAAAGATGATTCTGAATTATATTGACTGGTCAATTATAAGACTGTATTGCCATTTACTGAGAGGCAGAACATGATGGGAGGGGAAAGTGGCAAGTCAGAAGTCTGCAGAAGAACCAAGAAAGAAAGGTGTCCTAGAAGCTAAGAAAAGAAAATGTACAGATACTGGTAAGCTGTTGGATGGAACGGTGTGAAAACTGTCTTCTGACTACTTCTATTAACTCAGGGAAATTGGGGCTGAGTCATCAGCTGAAAGTGAGAAAAGGAGAAGAGGCACTGGAAATTTGAGAAAACATGAGAATAGGAATGTGTTATGGACCAGGAAACATTGCCAGGTAAGTCTGAGAGCCTCTTTAATGGTACTGGTCATGAATCTAAAGTGAGACCAGTGAATAGGCTACTCTTTTTGTCTTCATCCACATTCAGGCCTGGATAAAGTTATCAATGAAGGAAGAAGTAGATCCATACACGTATGGTCAATTGACCTTTTTTTTTTTTTTAAGATTTTATTTATTTATTTTAGAGAGAGAAAGAGTGTGAGCAGGGGGAGAATCTCTGCATGGAGCCCCATGAGAGGCTTGATCTTAGGACCCTGAGATCATGACCTGAGCTGAAACCAAGAGTCAGTTGTGGGACGCCTGGGTGGCTCAGGCCACTACTAGAGGCTCAGTCCGTTAAGTGTCTGCCTTCGGCTCAGGTCATGATCCCAGGGTCCTGGGATCAAGCCCTGCATCGGGCTCTCTGCTCAGTGGAGAGCCTGCTTCTCCCTCTGCCTGCTACTTCCCCTGCTTGTGTATGCTCTCTCTCTCTCTTTCTCTCTGATAAATAAATAAAATCTTAAAAAAAAAAATAGTCAGTTGCTTTGACTGAGCCACCCAGGTGCCCCAACTGACTTTTTTTTTTTTTTAAAGATTTTATTTATTTATGTGAGAGAGAGAATGAGAGAGAGAGAGCATGAGAGGGGGGCGGGTCAGAGGGAGAAGCAGACTCCCTGCTGAGCAGGGAGCCCGATGTGGGACTCCATCCCGGGACTCCAGGATCATGACCTGAGCCGAAGGCAGTCGCTTAACCAACTGAGCCACCCAGGCACCCCCAACTGACTTTTGATAAGGATGTAAAGGCAAGTAAATAAAGAAAGGATAGTCTTTTCTTTTTTTTTTTTTTTTATTTGACAGAGAGAGAGATAGCGAGAGCAGGAACACAAGCAGGGGGAGTGGGAGAGGGAGAAGCAGGCTTCCTGCCGAGCAGGGAGCCCGATGTGGGACTCGATCCCAGGACCCTGGGATCATGACCTGAGCCGAAGGCAGATGCTTCACAACTGAGCCACCCAGGCACCCGAAAGGATAGTCTTTTCAACAAATGGTACTGGAACAATTGGACATACAAATGGAAAAAAAAAAAAAAAAGAGCTTCTAACAATGCCTCACAATCATCAACAAAAATTAACTAAAAATGGACCATAGACCTAAATATAAAACATAAAAATATAACTATAAGCCTTCTACAAAGAAACATGGGAGAAAATATTTATGATGTCATTCTAGTCAATAAGTTCTTAGATATCATATAAAAAGCATGCTCCATAAAAACATTAAGAAATTGAACATTAGGTGTACCTGGGTGGCTCAGTCGGTTAAGCGTCTGCCTTTGGCTCAGGTCATGATCCTGGGGTCCTGGGATGGAGCCCGGAGTCAGGCTCCTTGCTCAGCGGGGAGCCTGCTTCTCTCTCTCCCCCTGCCCCTCCCCCCCGCTTTTGCACTCTCTCTCTCCCTCTCCAATAAATAAATTAAATCTTTAAAAAGAAAATTGAACTATAACAAAGTTAAAAACTTTTGTTCTGTGAAAGACACTATTAAGAGAATAAAAAGATAAACCATAGGCTGGGAGAAAATATAACAAGTGATACAAATCTGGACTTATATTCAGAATACATGAAAAACTCTCAAAACTCAACAACAAAAGATATTTTTTAAATGGGCAAAAATCCGAAGATTCGCTAAAGAAGATATAAAGAGGGCAAATTAGCACATGAAAAAAAAATGCTCTGAATCATTCATCATAAAAAGCATACAAATTAAAATCACAAAAATTAAGACCACTAAACTCCTACTGGAATGGCAAAAATTAAAAACAAAAAAAGAGAAAGAACAAGTGCTGGCAAAAAAAAAAGAAAAAAGAATTCTTGTATATTCCTTGTGAATGCAAACTACTAGAGGCATGTTGGAAAAGAGTTTCACAGTTCTTTGTAACGCTAAATGTACAATATGGCTCAACTATCCTATTCCAGCTATTTACCCAAGAGAAAGGAAAACTAATGTTCACTCAAAATTTCATACATGAATGTTTACAGCAGCTTTATTCATAGTACCCAAAAATGAGAAACAACCCACAGATCCATCAACAGGTAAATGGATAAACTGTGGTTCATACATACAACTGAACACTACAAAGCAATAAAGATGAATGGACTATTGATATAGAATATGCCACCCCAAAATAGGTCTCCGTTAATCACTCTTTGGCCAGTCTAATTTATAGGGCCTCAGCCAAAGAACCAAAGCTAAGTAGAGGAAAAAGATTATTTCCTCCCCAACAACATACCTAACAACACAGATGAATTTCAAATGCATTATGGTAAGTAAAAGCCAGACTGAAAAGGCTATGTACTGTATAATTCCAATTATAGGACAGTCTAGAAAAGCTAAAACTATAGGGACAGAGGATCAATGGGGTGCACTAGCAAATTTTCTGGAGTGACAGAACTGTTCTATATCTTAATTGCAACAGTGGTGGTAACATAATTCTTTACCTTTGTCAAAACTCTTAGAAGTATACTCCACAAAAGGTGAATTTTACTGTATATAAATAAAAATGAATTTTTTTTAAGAAAGGTAAATTTAACTAGGGTTTACATTTTGCTGGCCAACACAACAGAGGGTGAGAGAGAGAGAAACTAGAATTATGTAAAAAAAAAAAAAAAAAGTGATTTTAATGATGAAACCATGGAATCTTAAGATAGGGAGAGAGAAAAGCAAGGGGAGTGAGAGACAATGGAAAAGTGTTAGAATCAATATGATTGTAGGTCCTAGTTAGCTAGAGACAGAGAAGGGGGTTAAGGGGTTTAAAACAAGTTTCCTCCAAATGTGCCACTTTGAACTGAAGGCAATTGAGACTCAAGAGAAACTTTTGCCCTTGTCTAAACTACCTAGAAGAATCTAAATTGAGGGGCTTTCTCAGAATTAGAGTTATTACCAGAGATAAATTCTATCTGAGTGACCCACCTGTATGGTAGGGCAAACATCTAATTATCAAACATGTGCTCTTATTCTTATTACCTTGTGAATTGCCCTCCTCCCTTTGGGAGCCCCAGGTCCCTATCCCATTCCTTAGCTCAGGATGGCATATATAATTCATTTTACCTTTCTGTCTTTGAACCCCTCATGTATGTGAGGTTCTCATATATACAAAATTAAATTTAATTTCCTCCTGTTAATCTGTTTCATGTCAATTTAATTCTTAGACCAGCTGGAAGTATCTTTGAAAGATAGAGAAAAAAATTTCCTCCCTAACAGTGGTGATGGAGAGCAAGATACTTCAGTAGATAACCCACTAAAAGTTTGTATAAGTGAACTGATACAGGCCATAAAACTAGATTACTAGTTTTTGCTAGTTTATGCTACTAGATTACAGGATAAATACTAGTTTATGCTACTAGATTATAGGATAAATATCTCCTTTTCATTCTAAAGCAGATTATAATCAGTAAGAAAAATTACCTTGTCAAAGGTATAACAAGGCACATGATATCAGGGGGGCTGGAGACTGAGTTCAATCACATGGCCAATGACTCAATCAATCATGCCTAGGTAAGGAATCTCCAATAAAAAGTCAGGACACAAAAGTTCAGGTGCTTACTCTGTGCATGTTATATATCAATGTATCAGCAGGGTGACATGTCCCAGAGGACACAGAAGCTTCTTTGGTGTGGGATCCTCCCAGACCTTGTACTATGTGTCTCTTCTTTTGACTGGCCCTGATTTGTATTTCCTTTACTATAATAAAACTGTAATCACAAGTATAGTATACTTTGCTGAGTTCCATGAATCATTCCAGGGAATTATCAAAACTGAGAGGGCAGTGGGAATGCTAACATTTGTATCCAGTTAGTCAGAAGTATGGGTAGCCTGGGAACCCCTAAACTTGAAGCTGGTTTCTGAAGTAACAACAGTCTTGTAGGGGCGCCTGGGTGGCTCAGTTGGTTAAGTGACTGCCTTTGGCTCAGGTCATGATCCTGGAGTCCCGGGATCGAGTCCCGCATTGGGCTCCCTGCTCGGCAGGGAGTCTGCTTCTCCCTCTGGCCCTCCTCCCTCTCATGCTCTCTGTCTCTCATTCTCTCTCTCTCAAATAAATAAATAAAATCTTTAAAAAAAAAAAACAGTCTTGTAAAGAAATGTGCCTTTAGGGGTGCCTGGGTGGCTCAGTCCTTAAGCGTCTGCCTTCGGCTCAGGTCATGATCCCAGAGTCCTGGGATCGAGCCCCGCGTCAGGCTCCCTGCTCTGTGGGAAGCCTGCTTCTCCCTTTCCCATTCCCCCTGCTTGTGTTCCCTCTCTTGCTGTCTCTCTGTCAAATAAATAAATAAAATCTTAAAAAAAAAAAAAAAGAAAAGAAATGTGCCTTTAATCTGTGAAGTTTGGCCTAATTCCAAATAGGGCCAGAGTCATTACAAGTACTCAGAAGGGTCTTGCCTTAGTGGTGGAGAATAATTAGTACTATAGTAAACAAGACTTTGGTTCCACCTTACAAATCTTAAAAGCAAGACTTGAAAGGACCAAACTATTTCTAGGTAAATTAACTGCCTTACTTGTAACAGAACTCAAGAATATTTATAGGAGGGGTGTCTGGGTGGCTCAATCGTTAAGTGTCTGCCTTTGGCTCAGGTCATGATCCCAGGGTCCTGGGATCGAGCCCCACATCAGGCTCCCTGCTCTGCAGGAAGCCTGCTTCTCCCTCCCCCACTCCCCCTGCTTGTGTTCCCTCTCTTGCTGTGTCTGTCAAATAAATAAAAATCTTAAAAAAAAAAAGAATATTTATAGGAATACAAAAATATCCAGCACCCAGAAAGGAAAAAATCATATTTGGCATCCAATAAAAAATTTAAAAATACCAAGCATGCTTGAAGCAGGAAAATACAACTCAAAGTAAGGGGGTAGTTAATCAATGGAAACTGAACTAGAACTGATAGAGATGTTAGAATTACCTAACAAGGACATTCTAATAGTTACTATGATCATATTCCAGATGTTCAAAAAATTAAGTACAGGCATACAGGATCTAGAAAAAGACTTAAGTCAAACTTCTAGAGATGAAAATTATAATGAGATCACACCCCCCCCAAAAAAGATGGAACTGGCAGCATTAACAATACAAAATAAAAGATTACTGAACTTGAAGACAACAATAGAAAACATCCAAAATGAAATACAAAGAGGAAAAAAAAGACTGAAAAAAGAAAAAAAAAAAAAAGGAGCATTAGTGAGCTGTGAAACAATTTCAAGCACCTAATATGTCTGTAACATTAGATTCCCTAAAGGAGAGGAAGAGGTAGATAGAAAATGTTATTTGGTGAAAACTATAAAAATCACAAAACTAAGAAGCTCAACAAACCCAAGCATAAGAAACACACACAAAAAAACCATATAAAGGCACATAATCATATCGCTCAAAACCAGTGATAAAAAGAAACACCTTAAAGCAAACAAAGAAGGAAAAAACATTACGTAGAGAGGAACAAAGAGGGAAAATAGACTCCTCGTCGGAAACAATGCAAACCAGAAGACAGAGCGATTATTATTCATCTTTAAAATACTCAAAGAATAAAACTGCCAACCTAGAATTCTACATCCAGCAAAAATATCTTTCAAATATGAAGGTAAAATAAACATGTTGTTAGAAATAAAAATGCCAAATAAGTTTCTCACCAGAGGACCCAAAGGACAAGAAATGTTATAGGAAATCTTTCAGGCAGAAGGAAAATGACACCAGATGGAAATATAGATTTACACAAAGGAATGAATATCACTGAAAATGTCAACAACATAGGTAAAGCTACAAGAGCTTTTCTTATTATTTAAATCTCATTAAAACATAACAAACTAGGGACGCCTGGGTGGCTCAGTCGGTTAAGCTTCTGCCTTCAGCTCAGGTCATGATCCCAGGGTCCTGGAATCGAGTCCCGCATCGGGCTCCCTGCTCTGTGGGGAGCCTGCTTCTGCTTCTCCCTCTGCCTCTGTCTCTGTCTCTCTCTCTGTCTCTCATGAATAAATAAATAAAATCTTTAAAAAAAAAAAACATAACAAACTATAACAGCAACTGCATGACAGAGTGAGGAAATAAATCTATTCCCCAAAAAGCAACTAAAAAACTGGGTAATCAGTTTTTAAAAAACAATCATTACGATGCTCTGGAATTAGACCAAAGGCATACAACACACTGAGATGTGTTTATTCATGAAAGCTACTGAACTTCAAGCAAGCACAGTAGAGCTGAGTCTGTGATCTTGCTTGGGGCTGCACTCTAGCCCTCTCGGGTAGTTCAAGGTAGTTTGTGAAAACAATAAGCTCTGCTACTTGAAGGATCTTACCTGATTTGGAGTGGTATAAGCTACAGTGGCAATTTCAGTGGCTAGTGAAAATGGAGGGCCAGCAGCTTAGTTAGCTTGAGGTTGTTAGCCTGTTTGGGGTAAGTAACAAGCAGGCAAACTAGCCAGATATTTAACAAAGGTCCTGGGAGGTGAGAAGGCCATAGCGAGCTTCATAAACTCTCCAAATACCCAGGACTGAAGTTAGTCTGTGCACATGTACAGCAAAGACCTTAGCAGGCCCAAGTCAACCAACATCCTTAATCAACAGAGTCAGAGCCTGTGCATGTGCAAATGCACATGGGAGAGCCCAGGGGAAAGGAAAAGAATAAAGTTTGAATCCCAACCTATACACAAATCCAACAGAAAAGAATGAATACCTTACTCGCTTGAAGTATTTGAATAAATCTCTGAGCAATCCTGGGCTAAACAATAAGCTATACAGACAAAGGGGACACTGATATGATGGCACGCTTAAAATAAAAACAAGACAGAATGCTAGGTGCTTTAATTACACATTACCTCTAGTCCTTACAATAATCCTGCAAGGTCACTTAGATAGTAAGTGTATAATGAAGGGCTGAAATCCTGTACTATTTCCACTCCAAAGCTCCATATACTTTCCAAAGAATATGTATGTTGTTCTTTTCCTACAGCATAAAGTCTCCACCTGCCTGAAGCAGCAGGGGTATGGATACTAACAAAAAAATGAAATCCCTCTCTTCCTTCTCCTGTACAAACCCCAGTAAGAAAGAAGAAAATAAAAATCTCCAACTTACTGCAAGAAGATTCATGATGGTGTGCCCCGTCTCTCCAAACAATGGCTTCCGAAATCTGACACTGAAGAGTGGGCAGGGATAAACTATGGAAATGAGAAGTAATGAGACTAAGTTTAACAGCTTAATATTTTGGTAAAAGGGAAACATCATGGTTCATAAAATTTTCAAAATATAACTGTAATAGCTGTTTTAGATCATATGAAATTTAGAGGTCAAAGGTATTTAGCATGGTAGCATCAAAGACAAATTCTGAGCCTTCTACAAACCATACCAGAGTAAGTCTTTTGATGACCAGAATAAGCCTTTTTATGCAGCTGTCTTAAAAATGAACTACAAAATCTCAGGAAGCACTCTTCTTCAAACTGGATTAATATGATCCGGGAAACAAATCTCTCCTAATTCTTCTGTGTTTACTCTTATACACCTCCCAACCAGGATCCTCCTTAGAATAGCCAAACATGAGGCGGCCTATTCCCTGGCTTACTCCTTGAACTTTATGGGATGAATTGCCTGTACAAGACAGGAAGATATGTTATGTTGTTTCCTCTGCATACAATCCTTCCCTTTCCCTACTTCATTTAGCTGATTCATATGTCTCTTTCACAATTCAGTCCAGAAGCAAATTGGTCCAAGAAATGTTTCTTATCCAACTCCTTCATTCTTGGTGAAGCTGGAGTCCATCTTGGAACTCCAAAAGAACTTTGTTAACTTTGAACATGTGTTTTAACACAATATAGTACTGTAATCATAATTTCTGTATTTCAAAGGTTACTAAGCCTGTAACCATGTCTTAGCTATTTCTGAATTCCCAGGATTTGTTACAAATGGTAGGCCTTTATTAAATTCTTACTGAACGAATGAATAAGTGAAAGAATGAAGCTGACTTGGTGAAAACATATACTATTTTATGGTTCATAAAACAGTTTTTCATTATTTCATTTGATCCTCTTAACAATCTTACATATTGTAAAAGGCAAGTATTATTTTTTCCAGTTCAGAAGAAACTGATTGAATGACTTGCCCAAAGGTACAGAACTAGGAAGTCATAGAGTTAAGAACCTTGCTCAAATGGTCCGATTCCTAGACCATGGCAATTCTGATCAGGTGAAAATATAGTTTAAAATAAAGCTTGCATTTAAGGCTTATTGTCTTAAAAAAACAACAAAAACAAAAACAAAACTCACAACTTAGTTGTACTGCTTCCACCATGGGCAAGGAAGCTCTTCTACTGCTCACTTTACCAACTCCAAGTGATCTCTACACCACTAGTTTCCACTATCTGTTATGTTATGTAAGATATAATTTGTCATAACTATTTTCCAACAAAATAGCAAAAAAATGTTCACTACAGATACTGTAAAAAGTTACTTGTTAAATTCCAATACATTTTTCTGAAGATGAACTTTTATTTATCAATGAACTATAAAACCAGTAAGTTTACAAGGTACTAAATAATCACTAACTTCCTAATTTGCGATTTTTAGTCCTTAACATTAAAGCTAAAATAAGTAAAGACAATGGCCAAATTTAGCTTAGCTATTTCAAAAGACTTCTGCCGGATTACATCACTGCAGGGGGAAGGGGTCTGAATATCTCAGGCCTTTATTTAGCCATCACGTCTTGGTCATATAGCATAGAAGAAGCTATTTTACTACTTACGTCGATATTCAGCTCCAAGTCTCAACATTAGTCGGATGGGAAACACTTTAGCCCAAGGAGTTTCCCATTTCTGGATGAGAATCCCAAACAAGTAAGGTGGGGTTGGGAGTACTAGGTCTTGCAGTGACTGGTAGGTAGACGTCACATATAAGAATCCACCATGTTCTTTACTGCCAAGGAAACTCTGACTGAAGAAGGAATGTCCCAAGTTGCCCACAACATTTCCTAAAACAAAAGTTCATTAATTATTCTCTATCAATAAATCAATCATATTCTTAGTAATCATTATACTTAACATTGGGCCAGACACAGCTGAACACTAATTCCCAAACTTTCACTATGAAAGACATGTTTATGAAGTTGTTTTTTTTAAACATTTTATTTATTTATTTATTTGACAGAGAGAGAGAGACAGCGTGAGAGGGAACACAAGCAGGGGGAGTGGGAGAGGGAGAAGCAGGCTTCTGGCCGAGCAGGGAGCCTGATGCGGGGCTCGATCCCAGGACCTTGGGATCATGACCTGAGCTGAAGGCAGTTGCTTAACCAACTGAGCCACCCAGGCGCCCGAAGTTGTTTTTTTTAAATAAAGGTATTTATTAAATGAAAATTTGTTTTCCAATTTTATCAGGGCCTCTGGTGAGCATGAAATAGCTTGTATTATTACACTGTAGAAGTCTATCTAGTTAAAAGCCAAAAATATTGATGCCTTCCTTAGATTGGACAGCTCTACTGTATGAATTACTTTAGAGGTCTCAGGGTAAGAATTACTGCCTCAAAAATCATGAAAAAATGTTACTACTAGGTACCTGCTCTCGCAGAGCTTACAGTCTCATTGGGTGAATAAAGTCAACTCATGAACATAATGAATGAAGACAATAAGTACAGTTATATATGAGACATTGAGGTTAGAAAATTTACAGAGAAGGTAGTATCATAGGATTTATGTTTGTAGTTGTGGGTGAGACAAATATGAAACATAACAGGGTTTATTTAAATTCATATTAGTTTTTTTCTTTTAGCTGCAAAAGCTCTTGACTAAGCACTTTCTAATTCAAAAATTTTTAAATGAAACAGTGACACATCAGCCTTTCATTAAGACATTTTCCTCAGTTTAGAATTACAAAAGAAGAGGAGCTGTCCCATAATGGTAGATAGGTTCCCTAGACGTGTATAAGCTTCTTCTGATATTTCTCAAAGAAATAACAGCAAATGCAGAAATCCTCATCAGCAAACTTAATGCTTACTTTCCTGGAAAACTAGTCTGTTCACAGAACAGCTCAATGATGGGTCACAGATTCTTTGAGTGAAGTAGGAAGCTATGTTGATAGTAGGGTCCACAAGTGAAGTGAACAATTCCCCACAAAACTCAGAGAAGCTCTGTGGCTGAGAGCCATGTTCACCTGAACATTATCATCTGCCAAATACATTTGGGGCAGTCCTCTTGACTCAGGATTAATCAAATTTGGCTACACATCTGAACTGCTGGGCCAGATCTATAAAAACAAAAAAAAAATCCCCATATCCAGGAAGCAGTATGGTATTTTGGGGAAAAAAAAAAATCACAGATTGTAGAGTCACAGAGGTATGGGTTTGAATACTAGTTCAATCACTATTATGTGATTTGGGGGCAAGTTATTTGACTTCTGCGAGCTTCATTATCTGTGTAAAATGGGGGAAATTATAAATTTCAGACCTGTTGTGAAGAATAAATGTGAATTTATGCAAAATGCCTAATAGCACATGGCACACAATGTGTTCTCAAAAACTTGCAACTATTATTGTTATAATTTACATATACACATAATGATCAGCCAAATATTATAGGATTTTCTTTGCTTTATCAAAGATTTTAGAGTAAGGTTTGCATAAATTTTCATCTTTTAACCTGGGGGAGGAGACGAATGGGAGGTAAAAGAGATGAAAGATATTTTTCCATCCATAATGGAGATTATACAGTATCATTCCTCTAAAGTTCTAATGAGAGCAAAATGTTTATGGGTTTTTTTTTTAAAGATTTTATTTATTTATTTGACAAAGAGCACAAGCAGGGGGAGAGGCAGGCAGAGGGAGAAGCAGGTTCCCAGGTGAGCAAGGAGCCCGACGCAGGACCAATCCCAGGACCGTGGGATCATGACCTGAGCCGAAGGCAGACGCTCAACCGACTGAGCCACCCAAGCGCCCCAATGTTTATGTTTCATAAGATTGCCCTAGTGCATACAACTCAAAGGTGAAAATGATGTTAGCTTGGTACTCAAGGCAATCATTCCTTATCCCTTTGGGGATTTCCGTATTAGAGACCGAATTATGTATGGATAATCTATTACTGGTTATTTTTCCACAGATAGTACCCTTTTGCTTCTACCATGTAACATCCTCCTCCTCCCTGTCTCAATCACACTCAGATTCCACACTACGCCCCTTTATATCATAAAATTTAGGTTATCCTGTAAGCATCTACTTTCTTTAAAAAAATTTTTTTAAGGTAAATCTCTATAAATCCTAGTGAGTGATTTAGTATAGACTGTTATGTACCATCTCATCTACAAACAAGTAGCATTCCACAGGTGTAGATACTGGCAAAAATAAAACAGTTGGTATGAAAATTTGACAAAGACAAGCTTTCACTGAAAACTTAATCTGGGGCTCTTGAACTCATAAAGTCTGCTATATATTTGTTTATACAGGTACTTATTTATGGGAACATTCGATACAATGAATCCACTGAATTAATCCTATATGCCCCAAGACCACCATAGAATCCATATAAATAAAATAGATACTGATTCTTGCTTCTGAGCTTAAATGACCTGGCAAGTATGTCAAAGGTTTTATATCAATAGCTACAAAGCAATTTTACATGACCTTGATCAGATAATCAGATCAGTGTCGCTAGGTTAAAAGAGCAGGTATCATTTCCCTGAACTTTGGGATTGTTATTTTACAGGTGGAGAAATTGAGGGTTAGAAGTAGAGGTGAAGTGACTCCAAAAGACACAAGGTAAAATAAGCAGCAAAATAAGATCTAGAAAGCAGATCTTTCAATCTCCTAGTCTTTCCATATATCATACTGTCTTTAAAATATATACGTATATATAATAATTTGCAATTTTCCATCTTAAATTTGGAATTTTAACTTTGTTCTTCAAAGCGCTTATAGCCATCCTTAAATTCAATTCAAATACAACTTAAGGGGCGCCTGGGTGGCTCAGTCATTGGGCATCTGCCTTCAGCTCAGGTCGTGATCCTGGCATCCTGGGATCGAGCCCCACGTTGGGCTCCCCGCTCTGCGGGAGGCCTGCTTCTCCCTCTCCCACTCCCCCTGCTTGTGTTCCCTCTCTTGCTGTGTCTCTGTCAAATAAATAAATAAAATCTTAAAAAAAAAAAAAACCAAATACAACTTAATATCTATGCAACAGCTTCCTTTTGTTTCAAATCATGTTTATCCTCACAACTAACTCAAATGGAACAATTTCCAAACAAATGTTCGAGAAATATTAATATTCGTGAATATTAACATATAACTAAACCTCAAACTATCAAAAGAATTTAGTCACTTGGTGTTCTTTATAATACAGTAAACTGCAGTTAAGCATGAGTACTTCATAAAAGGTCATTTCCTCAGTTTAGAGCATCTGTGAGATTTACCATGTAACTTCAAAAAGTTCAAGAGGCAGTTTACAGCTTTTTTAAAACATGGGATTTAGAGAAGATACAGCTGAATTCAAATCTGGGTTCAGCCACTAATCAACTATGTGTTTGATCTTTGGCAAGTTACTTAGGCCCTTGGTGCCTCTCAGTTTCCTCATATGTAAAATGGGGACAAGAACAGTATGAATCACAAGAGTTATAGTCGAGAAGAAATGAAATAGTGCACATAAAACAATGAATACAGCCTAGCATGTAGTGAGAGCTCAATAAATACTAGAGGGGCAACTGGGTGGTGCAGTCCATTAAGCATCTGACTCTAGGTTTCGGCTCAGGTCATGATCTCAGGGTTGTGAGATTAAGCCCCACATCAAGCTCCACGCTTAGCAGGGAGTCTGCTTAAGACTCTCCTTCTCCCTTTGCCCCACCCTGAGCATGCACACTCGCGGCTCTCAAATAAATCTTTTAAAATAAATAAATATAGATATTAGTCTCAAATCACCTCTTCATAAATAATTCCATATTACTTTCTCATTGGTTGAAAAATTACTTTGCAAAGCAGCAATACCATGGCTCCTTTGCTCATAGAAAGATACAAAATAAATTTAATTTACCAAAAAGGTTCACAATTAATTGTAAAAAGAGACTAAAAATCCAAACCATGATGTAACATCTTTAACTGGAAAAGCAATGCAAGATAATTACTGATGACGATGAAAACACCAATGAAGTTCCTCCTTCCCTGGAAACACACTGGCTAGGAAACATTTTCTTTTATTTTACAGATAAAAGAGTGACTTGCTTCAGAAATACTAAAGATTATAAGCAGTGTAATTTTTATGGCCATGAGAAATAATAGCAAGCCACTAAAATCTGAATCAATTACTGGACATTGATCAATCATGCATTTACCACATGATATATACTGTTAGATACTAGTCCAAAAAAGAGATAGAGATACACATATTAGTAAAATATTTTCTAAGATGCACAAAACTTGACAGACTCCCAGTCATTCCACAAATATTTATTGGATACCTATCATTTTTTAAGAAATGTCTTATCAATTATTTATATTCTTTGAGAGACTACTATTTTAAAATCTCTTTTTTCCCCCCTCCTCTAATCCACCTACAATTTTTCTTCTAAATACTTGGGGGGATAGAAAATTGGCAAGAGATGGTGGTTTAAAAATAGCTAAATACATATTTTCCTAAGTTAATAGTGATTATGCACCTATATTCTTAGACTGTGATAAACCTCCACATTAAAAAATAAAAAATCAAACTCCATTGTATTTGAGGCCTATAATTTTATTAGTGACATTATAAAATTAAGAAAAATAAAATTAAAAATGATCAGTTTATTAATAACATACACATTAGTAATATAGTACCTTAAAATTTACTTTGCCTTTTGAAAAATCTATATAAGAAATTTAAATTAACCAAAAGTCCATCTGGGTTAACCCAGGTGACCACAATTTAAAGATACAAAATAAGGTAGGTAGGTGACAAATAGAAATAGTTAAAAAAATTTATTTTCAAAGATATGAAATTATAGAAACTTCCCAAGTAATCT